CTCATGTTCTGCCCAAAACAAGCTGCGGACAAAGAATGCCAACACGAAGTCTTGTTGCAGTTGGTCCACATTTTGTGACTTGTCTGTATTCCTGAGAGTTTGTTTTGCTTTTTTGATACGCACAACCTTATCTTTTTTTTTCTTTTTTTTTTCTCATGTTTCTCACTGACAGGGTTGAATTAGAGGCTTTTCAAGTTGGACCATAATTTGTTGGATCGCTGCCCTCATACCTTAGTGCTGATGTAAAATTATTCTATAGTGGCTTTTCGTGAGGAAAACTGGATTTAAATGTTGTCACAACACTCATGGTTTTTAAATAATAGTCATGATTGCCATTAGGGAGTGCATTCACGGGGCAAAGCTTTGGATCCATTTTTATAAATAGCAAAATTTTATCGTAAAAAATAATGTTACTGCTGGCGTTTTTGGCAATTAAAGTACGTTTGGCCCAGGAACAAGGGTATAACCAAGTAGTAGATGGAAAAACACTCCCTTTCAAACCTTGATCCAAGCCATTCCCACCACCAATGCCCAGCACCACTCTGTTATAAAAGCATGTCATGTACCATATCAGTCAGAGGGTTATGTTCCACCTGTTTGCTCTTTATTTATGACAGATTGTCGGCTATGTGATGGACAGAGTGAGTGCCATGCTTTCTGAAGCTATGCTTATTTCTCTGTGTGGAGGCGGTGTGGTCTCCTACATGACCGATCAGATACTTCAAACCACTTGTGTTTTCCCTTCACATGTACACCAAAAAAAAATCTGGCTTCAATTATTATTGCACCCCAAGGGGAACTTCCAAAAATTCCTCCCTTCCTCATTTGTCAGAAATGAAGCTCTCTTTTCCCGTGATTGGCTAAAATATGTCTTGTGATATTAAATCACACTGGTTTTCACTGGCTACAGGACCAAGACAAATGTTTATCATATTTATTTATGTCATTGGAGATGATCCTGCAGCTCAGCAATGCAGGGACTTGGCTGCAGACTCCTGTGTTATGTTGATTGTGAGTAAGAGACTCTCCTAAATAAGCTGAAGTTGGGAGATAATTTAGAAAGCACATGAGGTAACTGCGGTTTGTTTAATGTGAAAAATGCAGCTTGGAGTTGGGGAGGGTGATGGAGGTAGTGTTACAAAAGCCCTAATGAATCTAGACTGACACATCCCACCCAAAACTTACAGAGCTCTTGGTTTGATTTATATTGTGCTATGTTGATAAATGTGGTTCCAAATGTTGATTAAGGATCTGTTTCACTTGTTTGTATGTCAACAAATCCAGCTAAATCTAGTTATGCACCTCTGATCTCCCATTGCCTTTGTTTTTCTTCTTGGTGCTTATTGTCATAACATCACGCTCTGGTAGAGGCCTTTCCAGAGTGGCTAAAGAGGAGAAATGCTATATGAAAATTACCATTGACATAGCAGAAACAAATAGGACTACTCATGCTGCCACTACATCTGTAGCCATTTTAAGCCCTTATTTATACCATTTAAGCTCTCATTTGAATTCACCAGCACAAATAAACATATCATAATGAACCGAAAGCCCTGATGTCATATGCAGATGTTGAATTTTGATTATTCCCTTTGCCTTGTGAATTTGTCAGGATCTTGTCTCTCAAAGGCAAATAGATGACATCATTTGTTCTTGGCTCTGATGGGGTTATTCTACTCACTCCACTGTAACAGTTCTGAGGCTGCACTACCCATTCCTTACTTATCTCTATATCTCTTCTACTGTATTTCAGTGTATGTTTACTATGCGAGCCCTGTGTTTCTGCTGATAAAAACAGAAGAGAAGAAAGGCAGTAAAAACCCCACTCTCCACACTACTGTGGCATCTAGCCAAGAGTTTCAGCTATGTTTACTGCTAATGATAAGCTGGCATGGATCAGAACTTTATAAAAAGCAAATTATTTCACCTGAAGCCTGTGGGATTATTCATCCTAAATCTGGCTCTTCAAGTACCACAGACTTTGATATGCTCATAAATCATCTTGTAAGAAACTTGTGTTACTAAACCCCTGAGCAGGCAGAGAGAAGAAAGCAGTCGGTAGTGTTTGGGCTCAGTGCCAGAACCTCTTAACTGGATCAGTATAACAGACTACCTGGTCTCCTCCTGGGGTCATGTGCTTCACCGTAATCAACTACAGCCCTGTCCAATGGGACGCCTGTGCAAATAAATCTAATATAATCTTTATGAAGAATCTTTAAAGCATTAAAATCCCCTGAATGTTTTGTTGAAGGTTTAAGTCTTAGTCTGACCTGAGATTTTTTTTTATGTTCAAGTAAGCATCATGACTTTTAAATTGACCTGATCTAAAAAACATTTTCCCTTTCTATTCACCAGGCGTGCGTTGAACCTCGGCATCCTGCGTGACCCAGGTTCAGAAGTGGAGGACCGTCAGTACCAGGTCGACATCCAGTCCGTTACAATTGGAACAGCACAGTGGGAGCAACTCAAACCGGAAAAGGAGGGAATCAGAGGAGGTGTGTCAGCAGAGAACGAGAGAAACTCCCAGAACCCAGCTCTGGAGTGGAACATGGCCAGCAGGTCAGAGGTCACCTCAGTATTTGCATGTTAAAGCAAGTTGTGTTAACATTGCATGTTCTTACTCAAGCACATTTGGATCTGTTAGGTTGAAAAGAATGGGCTGCACAATTATAATTATAGAATAGTAATATTTGAAACAACAGCAAATGCAGAAACAAAAATCAATGAAATAAACTAATGATAAAATTCATCATTACAATTGCCACCAGCCACACTGTAATAAACACCATACACGATTTTAGTAGTTTTACATTTGCTAATGTAGTTAATGTTGCCAACAAGTCAGACACATGTATTTACTGTATATTGTGAACACACACAGAGTTGCAGGCAGTGCGTTGCAGTGATTTACAAGTGTGAGATGTCGCAGGATGAGTGTAGAGTTCTTTAATTGACATTGGAAAACACTAAAGTTTTATGAGCTTTGAACACATTACTCTGAGTGTAAATCATTACACCCTTTGTCAGGTGCTGTTTGTGTGATCTGCTGTGAACATCCCATAATGTATCTCATCATCCCTAATTTAGTCGCAGCATACGGTTATTGACTGCGCTCCCTATCATGGAGCCTTCAAGCACAGTCATAATTACAAACCCTGTCATTTTTTTTATAGACTCGGGAGCTAAAACAAGCACGAGTGTAACAGCCTGCTTGGCCCCACATCCTTTTTTCCCACTCATGTTTTGAGAGGGAACAGGCCCAAAACTCACAGAATCACAGGCAAAGAGTCCAGATTTGTTCCCTGTCAACTAAAAATAAGTCTTGTGGAAGAACGACGCAAAAAATCAACACAAGCCTGATTGAGACTGAGAGCTTTCGGGTCAGCAGAGCTCAGAGAACAGCTCAGATAATCGCACCTTCCACGGGAAACACACATCTATATTCATTACTACACTGTTTTCTTAACTTCTTACATTTGCACATGCGCGTACTAACACACGTAGTGATAGTGGTTGGAGCTCTTCCAGGAAAATTGACTTCTGCTGCTAGTGATACTAACACTGAGCTGTGAGCTCACTGACTGCAACGAGATCCTTTATTGTGACAACCACTCAAGATGTATTTGAAGAAGACTCCATTCTTACAGGTTCTTCTCATTGACAAAAGGACAAATAAAGTTTAAACCCATTAGAAATGAACAATGTGTATGAAGACTATAAGGCTTTTGCAGAAAAAAAAACCAAACATTTTTGTTCACGTGTTGTTTTAAAAGCCATTTACAACCCTATTGTATTGTATTATTTTGAAAGAGGAAACGAGAAATGCAATGGTCACATCTCCTGTGGGTGTTCAACAGTAGAAAGGTTTCCTGCCCTCACCTGTCTCCATTTGTACTACAAGTATTAACAAACCTGAATGCTTGTAGCTACAATGTGTGTACTTTGTGTTGTTCTTACACTTTTGAACACTGGACCCTAAAAGTTTGGCAGGCGTATATGACCAATAGTTGACTGCTGCTGCTTGGATCATTTACATTCTTTGTTTCTGGCTGTGAGGATGTCTCTGTCATTGAGAACACTGCTGCCTGGGCCGGCTGCCAAGGGCTGGATTGTTTAAAAGGGCAGAGAGGTGGGATCCTGGGTTCACAAACAGGGCTGCAGAATGTCCAAATACTGAACTGACATTTTACTTCGGACTTGACCTATTTTATATGTGTCCACATGTCCCTCTAGATTTTCCGGTAAAAATGGTCTTGATTAATTCACACTGGTTAGTGATCTATCTCAATATGGTCATTTTAATTGTTATTACAAATACATGATTAAGGTAACTTATTTGCCTATTCCCGTATTATGGCAGAAACAATACCAATAGTCCTGCTAGACTACTGCGTGCTTAACACATACAGTGTTAAGCACACAGGCTCTGGTCACAAGTGAACACATGATGGAGAATGTTTCAACATATGGAGAAAAAAGTCTTGTTCACAGCTTTACTTGTCTGCTGCAATTCCCAACAGGAATACACCACCTCAGTTGCCATTAGTTTTGACATGCACCACTTCCAAAGTTCACACCTTTTCCTCCGCTACAATGACAACTCCACCTCACCCCCTTCTGTCAAAAATTCACTCTACGGGTTTTTTGAGGGTCACGACCACTGTTTGCGGATCTGTAGTGGCCTCAGTCGGCTTCCTGAGGTTTTGGTTAGGAAATTCCAGTACGGTGGATCCACTGACAGGATCTGTCCTCGTCACAGTGTGTATTGTGTAGACTCTCTGTCTGTGTCTGCGTCAGGGAGCGGTGAACTCTCATCTTTCGTCCTGTCAGCCACCCTGCACAGGCCTTCCTCTTTTTTTTTCATTTTTGCCACTGATATCTCAACTCACTGTGCACATTGTATCCTTTCTTTTCACATGTTTGTTTTGTTGCATCCCATCGTTCAAAGGTGCACGCACTCAGACACATTGAGTCCTGCAGCGTAGGCAGAGGCCCCCGTGTTACTGGTACAGTAAGCCGAGACTCGCACCTCTTAGTCCTGCTGGTGAATGATAGCACCTGTCTGCTGCAACAAGACACTTGTTGTTTCAATCCATGTCTGAGGGGAGATTAGCCAACACCAATTGGTCCCACAGATCATTTGACCTCCAAATTAGGCCTCCATCAGGCGCTCTACGCATAGAAATGTGTCAGAAAATAATCCCTTAAGGGCACTGGTAATGCACATTTGTGTAGCAGGAGTGAATATGATATTGGTTCTGCTTAAATACTGTACTCAAGGCCACCTAGAAACAGAGCTTTTCATAATCCTGCCCAGCGATAAATATTGGAAGCAGCAGCACTTTGATTGTTTTAATAGCAACAGATGTGGCAATTAACACCACCTTATAAAGCCCACTTGTATATTTGTTTTACTGCTAACAAATGTTCCCACAAATATGACCTGATTGTGGGAATGAACATTAGTGAAATGTAAAGAGCTGATGGGGGAAGGTATCAGCTTGATCTTATGTATACAACTTAAGGGTGTTCCCAATTAAAAGTTGTCAAATAATCTCTCTCTCTCTCTCTCTCTCTCTCTCTCTTTCTTTCTGTGTGTGTGTGTGTGTGTCACTCGCTCTCTTTTTCCTGTTTCTTTCTTTTCTTTCAAACCCACTCATGCATGCAACCAAGATGTGTTAGAGCAGAAACGTTTCATCGATGAGTTGAAAAATCAAATCTGAAGTCTTTTATTTTGAGCTCAGCTTGTCATCTGACTGCTTTGAGTTTAAAAAGCCAGAATACATTTTAAAAAGCTGCTTGTCAGCTCAGGCCATAACAATAGCTCAGTTGTAAACATTCTGTGGTTTTGACTGTACTGTGTTGACTTTAGCCTAAGGCAGATGGGACAGATCTGAAAAAGATTTCCCAATCAAAGGAAGTCACAGGGCTCCAGACCAGATTTTCCCCTAGTAGCAGTTTTGCTACCATCTGAAACATTCGGTAGTGATAGCTAGAAAGAAACAAAATATTGATTTACTCATGCAATACAGCACATTTAGATCAGTTTCTGAACTCTGCTCCTGTTAGTTAATTTAAACTCAATAATCTGAAGACATTTGGATGAAGATTTGTTCATGTTTTCTTATACACCATAAATTGAATTATTTAAAATAAATGTCAATATATATTTTCAGATTTAGGTGAAAGCCTCCTATAAGGTCACCCAAATGAACCTTAGAAGTGGTGGAACCCTCAGAAGATTTATCTATCATCATTCCCACAAATTATTACAATCAAATGTTTTTACTATCTTTAGCTGTCCTTTTCTTAAAGGCAGCTAAGGTTGCTGAAGCAGCTTCAACAACTACATGACACTTTTAGATCCAAAATCCCTGCTAATGAAACATCATCAAAGACATGTTTTTCTACACAAATATAATGTATGGTTATAACTAATTAGTCCTGGTTTAAAACTGCAATCCTTTATTCTGTCTCTTCACAGTATTAAGAGACACCAGGAACGCCGGGCCATCCTGACACCAATCCTGACTGACTTTTCTGTCCGAGTCACAGCCGCTCCAGCCATCATCTTCAGCAAGAGTTCCTCTCCTGACACTGGACAGACAGAGGTCAGCATCAACACAGCTGTTGTTGCACAATATTCTATTTCTCTTTATCCTGAATAGAGCAGTTTGATTTCAAATTAAATATTTAAAAAAACAAAACAAAAATTATTTTTCAGTTATATAATAGGCTCTTTATAGTATATTTTTTGTTTAAAAAGTACTTGGATTAGTTATTAAAAGTGCTGATGTTTGCCTCCTAGTGTACAGTAAAGTTCTCATTAGGAGTCCCTCAGCTTGTCTGCTTTTGACCTGCAAAGTTCAAACCTTTCTGCTTATACAGCTGATGTTTTCTGCCACAGCTGGCTGAGACTTCCTGCCTCTTTGATTCTTTGTCCCACCACGCTAACATGCCCCCTGACAATGCACAACAGATAATCCATAGTCCGCACTAACACGTGCATGCCTACAAACAAACACACACACACGTTTTCTGAGCACACAGACAAAATGCCATCCCTAGACATTTACCGTAATCTTAACTATAAAAAAGATCAGCCAGCCACATTAATTGCCCTGACCTTGAACCTAATCTTGAACCAACTGTTATATTATAAAATACATATATATATACACTGTATATATTCTTTGTTTAAATACCCAGAAATCATCAGCATACACTACTAACTACAAATTTAATTTGAAAAACTATGTTTGAAAAGCATATTCATATTCGATTGCACCAATTGCTCCATTTCTCTTCTTGTCCAGGAGGTGGTGGTTTGTGGTCACTCTCTGGAGGTGAACGTGACCAGCAGCCTGGATCTCTACCTCAGCATCGGGCAGGTGCAGCTCCTCCAGCAACTTCTCAGAGACAATGTGGTGGGAGTAGAAGGTCCTAAGAAAAGTCCTGAGGTAAATACTGCAGTCAACAAATACTGTATAACACACACACTGTAAGTACACATGAAGAAACACATCTCCTTGTTCCCATGCCATAGTAGGTTTTTTACACAACTTGAGGAAAGTCACTTGACATAGTCCAGTGTAATTAGCATTTTAAAATGCTAGGCACCATTAAAGGTTTTATTGTGATAATTGCATTATTTTTTGGGTAAATGGCCATGAATGAAATTATTTTGAGCCAACTTTATGATTAATTTAAATGTGTATTGCAAGGTTTTATTTAAAAAAAAGCACATAAATGTTTGGTAAGCAAACATAAATTAAACAAATAAGGTGCTTTTAACAGAGGTATTTCATTTCCATATCAGATGAAGTGTTTCTTCTATATCTCAACTAAAACATTAACATATTCAAAACAAATAGAAAACCAACCAACCAATCTCTCTTCCTTCCGTGTTAATTGGGGTCCTAGTAGTCTGGAGTTGCAGGTTTGAATCCACCAGTCACCAGGTACTACTGAGATGCACTGAGCATGGCACAGTCCCTACATACTGCTTCCCAGGAGCTCAGCTTGTGCCCTCTGTTCACTAAGATGACAAATGTCATTGTGTGCTGTGCATCAATGACAATAACTCACTCTCGCTGATTAACGCATATTCATTTTTTTTTTTACCAGGGAATCGACATCAGTCCTGTCTGTATACATTGCCCCTGAGTACTTTGTGTAAATCTTAACAGATTTAAATATTTACTCACTGAGAGTGAGACAGTTCTCTCTAATGTAGCCTTAGTTTACTGCACTGTGCTCAGCTGCAGCTTTCAAAGCCCTTCCCATTGTTTACAGAACAGGGAGCTCCCAGGCGCCAATGGCCCGGTCTGACTGCTTAATAAAGCTTCTAATGGAAGACAATATAAAAATATTTATCAGCTTTGGTGGAGATGGGAGTCTTAACAGAGCGACTGAGAAGAGAGGATGTTGTCGAAGACCCTGTAATTAGGAGAGGTATTAGTGAGTAGAACAGAACATTTTTTCTCTAAACAAATATAAATAACCTTTTAGTTTGTGGTTAAGGCCAACCACTGCTATACACCAATATCAAAGAAAAGCAATGTAAAAATAACAGAACTTTTAGTCAACCAGTGCTTTGTGTGCTCCAATGTGTATCAAAAAGTGGCTCTGGATAAGACTTTCTAATGAGAAAATAACATTTCAAATACTATTCCTGTCTATCACAAATGAAATCAAACACTGGGAATTATCTTGAAATGTACTTGAACATGTGGGCTTCCAAACTCGTGGAGGTCTGTAGGTTTTAATAGGTTAATGACTATTAGTTTGCTGATTACTTTAATTTATTCCCTGATAAAATCATTCTTTAGGAGGTAGCTGTTGTGCATCTGGTCTTGATTTTGGGCGATCACCGAACCCTCACTCTGACTTGTAATGATTCATGGCTTGATTCTGTCGAGGTGTAGCTAACGGCTTCAGAGAGTTCATCCAGGTTTAAGGCAGGATGAGAAACTTCATCAGTTATTCTGGGAGGTCCACTGGCAAGGGTATGTGAAAAAATGGGGGGGGGGTCTCAATTTAAGAAAGGTCATTTCATTTGGATTGAGTTATTTTTCAAGGCAAAGTCAATGAAGCACTTTTTCTCGCTTTACACAGTTCACTCACACACAGTTCAAAGCAGTGAGAAGCTGAGGGTTAGGGGAAATTGTTGTGTTGTGATATTAACTGCTTAGTTTTTGGTGCATTTCCGACCCAACTCCGCAGGGGGTTGGGGATTATTGCTTGAGACGCAGCATGGAAATTGACTTTCAACTCCCTAATGCACTAATTTCTAATTTTATTCATTTTTTTGTTCAATGAGAATGTTTGAAATTTTTTTTCTTTTGTTTTTTAGCAGTGTGTGCAACAGCTATAAAGGTGTCATTGTGGGGGCAGAGGGCGCTGTACAATAGTCCTACAGTTGCTTGGAAACCTATGGAAACCACTCGTCTAAATATTCATATCAGGTTATTGAAGTGGTTTACGTGAAGGTTCTGCATCTGTAAAATGTAAGTAGGTTTGGACTGAAACTATCATCAACTGTCGCTAGGGTTCGTCCTACTTTCTTCCTACTTCAACTAATTTATATTTAATTTTGTGTGATGCTCCCACTCTTTTCGTTCATTTCAATTCTTAAAGTATCACAGAATCATAAGAATCAGTTTGAGTGTGATTTTGATCTTATTAACTCATCACACAGTGATGTGTTTTCAAACACAAAATCTGTGCATTTTAGTTTCTTTGTGAACCTATCTGTACATTAATCTATCAACCAAAGGTCTTCAACATATGTGTCTGTCCAACAGTAAGTGAGGTGAGTGTGAGTAAGACATGGTTTGGTGTGGCGTGTTCTGTCTGCAGAAGCTCATTCCTCAAGCTGCAGAGCCCTCTAGTGGCTGTAACTACAGCACTCAGCGCTTCCAAGCTCAGACTCAGCTCCTAAGGTGGGCTCCTCTCGTTGCTCACTTCAGCAAACAGTCTGTGGACCCCCTACAAACACATTTGACAGATTGCCCTGCAGTAATATTAGTACAGCACATGTTCTGACTGTTTGGAGCAGGTAAAGGTGTATTCATGTTGTGCAGGCTGCAATCCTCGTATTCACAATAGTATGAATCTGTTTTCCTTTTACCTTTTTTGTTAAACTTATAGAATTTGACAGTTCTGTTTGTACTTCCTCTCGTTCGCTCTGTTCAAAGGATTTAATTAAAAACAAATCTCGAATTTCCACCATCTGGGGCAAAGAAATTGTTTTTGTTGTTCTAAGCTGAAGTATCTCAGCTGTCACGTTCAACACTGTCCCCAGTAATGGAAAAAAAATCAAATGCTACCCCTTTACTCATTTTACTTAATTCAAGATTTTCCTCTCTTCTTTAAACTGGTTTTGGTTCCTGGGATTCTTTTTTTCTTTTCTTATTTTTTTTTTTGAGAACTTTCTGTAGAGCTTGAACAGATTCTGTGCAGATTTCAAACAGTTCCATTACCACTCACAGCTGTGTTTTATTGTCTGGGTTAATGAATTTGTTTTTTAGGGGCTTTTGGGTTCCCTGGCAGGGTTAAGGCAAGCCAGGCGCGTGGGCAATGTGTGCAAGATGTGCGTGATTTCAGTCGTTTCCATTTCATTCCGCTGTACTGTATTAGCATCTCTCATCACACGCGTACATCTGTGACCCTGAAAAATGCATTATTTACAGAACTGCACACCTCATTTCCAGAACTATTGTTGCACTTTCTAAAGTTGTAATGTTTGCTATCTTGTGCTGGGAAAACAGTCTTGGCTTTGATAAACCACTTTCATGGAATGTTCAGCATTAAACGGTGAGGCCAGACACGAGTCTTTGGTCGATGCACTTTTCATCATATCAGTTAACCTCCTTTATTATGGCACCTTCTAGAGTGTTACCATTATGATATTGTAGTCCTTTACATCTGTGTCATCTTCTTAGATACAGAGGATACCTCAGGGGTGTTTTTGTTCTTCTGCTTATTAGTTAAAATTTTATTTTTTATCACACTGTAGCTTTAGCTGCCAATGTTTCAGGCAGTTGGATTTGTTGGTTCTTGTTTTCAGGACCTCTTGACCTCAACCTACGTAAATCGTGACTGAGATGGAAAGTAAATGGAGCTTGACTTCAGAGCATTCAGGAAGTTAATTTGTTGCTCCTTAAATCATTGCATTATTAGGATGTTTACCTCAGAGTTAGTCCAAGTTCAATACAGTCCTACTTCATCACAGTAGATTTTGGGTTCACATTAATGAGGATAAAGTGAGACTGCGTTTAGACCAGGCAGCAGGTGGTCATATCTTTGAATGCAGGAGGGAACAGCTCTCACTACTGACCTTGTTCCTTCAGTAGTACTGTGACCTGGCAACTGTGAAACATATAAGCTCCACACATACTTATGTGTATATATTCTTCTTTCATTTACTCTGAAGATAACCTTCTGAGGTCTCTAATATGAGAGTCAAATCGGTGATGTTGCTCTCCTATTGATCTGCTGACCCCAGTGTCTGGTTGTGTGTAGTTGTTTGTATGCTGGTCTCAGATCTGCTTAGATCTAATTTGTTCTGGGGAAAAAAGAGAGTAAGAAAATAAATTTGTGGGATAAAAAAGTAGCTTCTCATTGCTTTTCTCATCTCTTTAATCCTCCACATCTTCCTCTACTAACATGTCATTCTCTTATTTGCCACCTCACTAAAATCCATCTCTTTTTGCTGATTTACAGCACAGAGTTCTTATTGTTGGCACCAGTATCTGCCTGTTATTAACTTGCCATAATGACAAGCTTTTGGGGTATTTTAGTAAACTGGTAAAGAGGAAAATGAGAGAATATTTAAAAAACAAGTTTCTCTCAACTCTCTCTTTCTTTCTTTCCCTCTCTCTCTCACTCTTTCACTCTCTCTCACTCTTTCACTCTCTCTCCCTCTCTCCCTCTCTCTTGTTTCTTACACACTCACTGACACAAACACACGGAGGCAGTTCGGGTCAGCCATGTGCTAGTACCACAGTGTGAGAGGAAAATACCCTCTGGTGAAGGGGGAAGTCCCGCTCTGCTTCATCCTCCACCTCATCCTGGGATGATTACACGCATGGGAAACAGGGCTTTAGACTTCCTATAATTCTCATGCACACACTCAGCGATGCCAGTGCACACACAAACGCACATGGTAAGGTAGTACCCAAGTTAGGGATGAAGTATTTAGCATCTCAGGAAACTCAGAATTAGAGTTTTAAGTGAACACAAATGGGTAAAAAAAACCAAGCTCTCACTCACCCATACCTGCCTTATCTCCTTTTTCCTTCCTTTTCTGCCATTTCTTCCTTCCTTCCTCATTCACAATCAATGTTTCCAGATGAAAAGCTGTCACACATAAATAACAATGAAACCATTTACTAGATCTTTAACATTTATTTTAATATAAGCTAGTGTAATGTTTCAGTGACAGACGTGTCATTGG